TCGGTATGGAAAAATGTTCATCCAGTGTTGCTCCAATTCAGAAAGGGGATAAGTTTAGCCTTATGCAATGCCCACAAAATGAATTGGAGCGTGCACAAATGGAAAGTATTCCTTATGCATCTATTGTAGGAAGTCTGATGTATGCACAAACTTGTACCAGACCAGACATCAGTTTTGCAGTTGGGATGTTAGGCAGATACCAAAGCAACCCAGGAATGGATCATTGGAAAGCTGCAAAGAAAGTGATGCGGTATTTGCAAGGAACGAAAGACTATATGCTCACGTATAGAAAATCTAATAACCTAGAAGTTATTGGTTATTCAGATTCAGATTTTGCTGGATGTATTGATAGCAGAAGATCAACTCTTGGTTACTTGTTTCTCTTAGCTGGAGGAGCAATTTCTTGGAAGAGTACAAAGCAAGATGCTATTGCTATATCCACCATGGAAGCTGAATTTATAGCATGCTTTGAGGCTACAAATCATGGATTATGGTTACGGAATTTTATCTCAAGGCTTGGCGTTATTGATTCCATTGCTAAGCCGTTGAGAATTTTTTGTGACAATGCTGCCGCTGTCTTCTTCTCCAAGAATGACAAGTATTCTAATGGTGCTAAACACATGGATATAAAATACTTGACTCTTAAGGAGGAGGTTCAGAAACAAAGAGTGTCTATTGAGCACATAAGCACAATGCTTATGATCGCAGATCCCTTGACAAAGGGACTGGGGCTGAAGGCATTTAATGATCATGTTGAAAGAATGGGTCTTGGTCGTAGTCCATGATGATTGTCATTTTTATTTTGTTTATGAGAATTTGTTTAATGACAATATTGTGCTTGACACTCTGAGCTCGATAATTGAACATGTTTCTGGTATTTCCTGTTTTCCATTATATGTATACATCTATGAGATTGGATGAATGATAACAAGAATGTCTCTGACAAAGACATTATCGGACCTATATATGTATTTCTCACTAACAGACTGTTTTAGGTAATTGTTAGTGCTGTGGTGCATGGAAGGGACTATGTCGCTCGTTGATGTACAACCGCCATGACTCACACTAGTGAATTACTTAAGATCAGTAATTATGTTAACCAATTGATAGTAAGGATTATTTCGAACTTTACTGCGCGCTCAATGTTTATTTGTTAAACCTGAAAAGGAACATGTGTCACTATGGACCAAGTGGGAGAATGTAAGAATATTTTAATATTCTAAAGTGGTCCATATGACACGGTCCATATGATATGTAGGCTTTAACTGATATTATCATTTATAAATAATCCTATTGGTCAAATTATGAGAAATGTTTCCTATCGAATTACTGTGATGGGTGGTAATTGATTATGGGCTTTAAATGGAAACGGGTCCTCTCTCTGCCTCACTTATATATATTGCATACCCATCTAATATGCACTTGATAGAAAAAACACGATTAGGGTTTTCACGTGCAAATAGAGGCAAGAGAGAGAACACCTATTTCCTCCGCCGTTGACAGAATCCGTTTGGGATCTCACAGCGTTCGTTGTCATGGATCAAGGTACGCTTGGTTGTTTAATGTATTTCCGTAAATTCTTTGTATGTGAAAATCATGAAGTTCGATGATCTTGGCTTAATTGTTTTAAGACTCACAAGGAGAGGCTAGACTTGCCTCTAAAAAGGTTGAAGCCAGGGATCTTGAACACTCGAGGGAGGATAAGGGTGAATGAATCATGGGATCATCAGCCCCTTCTTTACCACTGAATCAATCATTCGTTGTCTCATCCATATCAATTTCCGCAGACTCCTTTGTCACCGGTTTCGGACGAAACACCTAAGCCCATAAGAAGATTCTAAATCAATCATAATTGTGGTGGCAAGGGCCTTTCCCCACCAAGATCAATCTTCTTTTTTGATGGAGCTATACTTTGTGGTTGTTTCTCAGCTCTGGACGTTGATCTACTTTGCCGAAACTCAATGACTCATGTAGCAAGCAAACGATTTGTTTCTTCGTGGCTTTGCTTCATCCCTTCACTGATTTGCTATGCCCTATTTAAGAATCTGCGGGCCGATTCATGCTCGATGATAAACTCGGGTGTCTAGAGTGTTCTTCAAGTATGTGCCGAATGAATATAGGGGAATTTATGCTCCAAAATAATAGAAAGTTGAATATCAGAATACGCAACGAACAAGACTAATAAAATAAGAATATAATATTATTAAACAAACGAAAATGTCAAAACGGCTACAAAACCCTAAAGGCTTCATTGTGAATGACTTGTTATTCTACGAGCTACAAAGCACCATATATATAGAGAAAACCTAACCCTAATAAGCAAGAAAACAAAACCCTAATATTAACGGGCTAAGCCCAAATTCAAACAATAAAATAATCCTAAATTCCAACATAGAATAGCTAGACTTTTTACCATCTTTGATTAATAACTTAAAACCAAGATCTAATAATTAAAAAGTCCAAAATATCCTATACTCTAGAACAGCATGGAACAAAATCCCTAGCTTCAAAAATATCATAGCTAATTGTGTCTAAGAAAAAAAAGACAAACAGCAAAAGCCAAAAGGCCAATTTGATGACTGGAATGTACTTTCCATGTATTTACAAATCTCATGACCTAATTCCAAGCACCCTACCAAGAAAATTGCCCTAAAAAGAATAGTGCACTGAAAGATCAAGTGAGAATATTGCCATTTCTTTTTGGGTAATACCAGAAAGATCAAATTTTTAAACAAAATTCGCAAATCAAATGATATGTCACCAATAGAAAATAAGCACGTTAATTAATACCTAAGTAATAATTCAATCATCAACCACCACGTAATTTGATTTGCAAATTTAATTTTGAATATTTGGTCTCTCTAGTATTACTCTTTATTTTTTTCTGCATGTCATACCTCATTATTTTCAAACAAGCCATCTATTCAAGAATCTGAATAATGAGGAATGATCTATAAAAAGAACTTGACTGCCTAAAAAGCACTTGTGGGCCAAAAGAGTTGTGGGTATTAGCAATAATAGGTGAGACGCCAGTTGAATTTCCCTTGCAATTTGTCGTCCTCAAAAGAGCACGGGTGGGGTGATGATGTTCGAAGTTGGCATGGGATTGGAAATTAGACAACATACCATTTACTGAGTCCTTGCATGCATGTTTGATTCTCATTTGTTTGTCCTCTTACCTTTATAGGAAAACTAATGAAAATGGTTTGAAAATTTTGAGTTTTAACAATAAGGACAAAATAAAGGGTAAAGTGAATAATATCAGTATTGACTTTTTAGTGTAAAAATGTGGTTTTTTGTTAAAATGAATAGTACCGGGAGTTTTTTGTTAAAGTTCTCCTTAATATATCTATAGCCTTTAATACGAACTCTAATCTTTATATGTACCACCTACTTAAGTGCATTCCGCTCCACTGATCGCAGGATGAGATAAATAGTATCATCGTATTGATTGGTTTAATACGTGGGTACTATCTTATTATGGAGCAAGATATACATGCTATATATGAAAAAGCTAAATTTATGTGTATGCAAGGTTCTAAAAAACACTAGACACTAGTCAAGCGGTAGGTTGGGGCGTAGCGCCTAAAAAGAGTCTAGGCAGGAGCGTAGGTGGACTAGGCGGATTTAAGTAATTTTATTATATATCGTATAAATACTGTCTATTTATACTTATAAAACATAATTGTATTGCGATACATAAGTTGCAAAATAAAATTATATATAGATTACAAAATATTAGAAAATATTGAAAATGGAGAACAAGCATATAGTGAGTGTCCATCTAAGTATTCATTAAGTCTCTTACATTTGATTTTTTATTAAAAACAAATGCAAAATGAAGGTTATTGATGTTCTGTTTAAATGAGTGTAGCGCCCTAAGCGAGTTTAGGCGGGCTGGGTAGGCACCTAGGCGGGTTAGGAGGACAACTAAGCAGGTCTAGGCGCCTCTTCTTAATTTTTAAATGCCTAGGGATTAATTGGAATGGTAGCCAACCGCCTAGCACCTAGGCGGCGCAAGGTGAGAATTTTTAGAACTGTGTATGTGTTATAGAGTGGTAGAAAAATTCATGAGAACAAAATTTGGAAAACTCGAAGATTGATTTTATTTTTTAAAATTGTTGTGCCTCTGGAAAAAGCACAATTTAATTCCATTTCAGCTGCATTATTTTTCATTTCAAGAAAAAAAAAATGAATGAAAAAAGAACACAACGGGTACAATCGTTTGTCATGTTTTTCCTACTTGGCAACCAAAAAACTGGACTTCTCCATTTTCACGGTTAACTTTCACTACTCGATCCTTAATCCTTAGTAAATCTGTCATTATCATCACCTTTAGATCCTGATCATCATTATATTTCCTCCAAGTACTAGGAAAGGTGGTGATATTAGGGTTTGTTCTTTGATCAAATCCTACTGACCCACGTTAATTTGTAGACCTCATTTTTTCTTGACGAATTATGCCCCTTTTTTATGGATGATTCTTTGTTCATTTGACAATGTACTACCACATGATATACATCCAACTTTGTGATGGGTTCATAAAATCAGTAATAATTCAGTCGTGGGTTATTTATGTGAGTCGGACCTATTTCTCTTCTTATTTTACCTATAAAAACTCAGAACTTTGTGAAGCCAGTATCTCCCAAAATAAAAAGTAAACACTACAAGAAAAATGGGCACTGCACACAATAAATTATATGTGCACTTTGAGGCCAAAAAGCACCATCATATGTGCCCATAGACCAATAGCAACAGTGCATCAACAAAGTTTCTATCTGTGCCCTCTATGTGTGTCACATTTGATCAAAGGGCACAATAAGGTATGTTGTGTTGAAAAGTCTAAGCACAAATAAAGGTCCTTTTGTGCCCAGTTCTGACAAAGTTGTCAGATAACTGTTATCACCCTTGTTAGCACATTTATTGTTATTGTGCCCAATATGTCAACTATTTAAAAAAAAAATTAAAAACCGAAATCACCTACAAATTGAGATTGAGGCTAAACAAAAAATTATTTTTTCACCACAAGCATCTATAATATTACAATTTACAAATATATTTACAACCATTATATATAAAAACAACTATAATTTTACATGTTCTATCCCCAACTAAAATAAAACAAAAATTATAAAGGTTTCAAGTGAATATCGGTTCTCTCAAGAATAAGAACATCAAATATTAAGGTTTTAAGTGAACCTGCACAGTTCTTTTCTCATCTTCTAGTTCCAAAATTTTCTTTCCAAAATGTTGCTTGAGTGCCACAGTGTCGGACCCTTCAAAATTTACACAGAGAAACAAGAAATGAGTATGTAGTGGCTTCCAAATTTTCAAATTATGATTCTTTATCTTAATCTCATGAGCTATTGTATATCATTCCTCCCACAGATTAATTAGTGTAATTTTGCTATGTATACATGCACTTGTTTGTGATTGAAACATAAAGACTTTTGCCTGGCACTTTAATAACATTCTTACATGGATGGCAAGAAATCCTCACACAAATTACGACATAAAAATAGAATCCAAAGTCCCAACAATATAATTCTCACTCTTTCAAATGTAAAGAACTAAATCTAAGAATTTATCCAAACCCTAAATCTAAGAATTTTAACAAATACTTTAGCATCAATTGAGAGAGGAATTGAGAGAATACCATATACACGGTATGTTACCCGTGGGCCACACTCAACAACATATCCAAGTTGCTCCTTCATCCTATTTCCAGAAATAGCAGACAATTATATGAACATATATTCAAATATATTTGAAAACAATATTATTAGATCCCAGATTCTTTTGCTAGGCAGTATGTAAGTAAATGTATCTACCTCAAATAAAATCACCTTAGTTGATTGAAAAGTGGCTCCATAATTTCATCGAAAAGATCTATCAATGCTTTCAATCGGATTGACTCAATCCCTGCTTCTTGCTCAACTTGAAAATACAGCTGCAATATGAAACCACAACCGAGGGAAGAATATCAACGCACAAACGAAGACAGTACACCTTCATAAAGGGAAACCGAAACGAAAATGTTCCATTTTGAGTTACCTCAATCACAAAGTTCGTTTCCGACTTATTCTTCACATTGGAATCTCTAATCAGGTTAGCACCAGGAGGAAGACAAATAACATACTCTTAATGCCTCAATTTGATAGGCAGTGGTGGTACGGAAAAATTCGATTTGAATATATTTGACAGGGTAATTGCTTCGTCCTCTTAACAAATTTCCATGGCAAAAGCCCTCAATGTATAGCTACACATATTAAGGGGAGGGTAAGCTGAAGCAAATGCCTTAATTAAACTAATTCTAACAGCTTTGACAAAAAATAAACAAATGAATCATTATAAAATCAAATATAAAAAATATGAGGTCAAGAAGCCTGAACCGCATGAATTTCTCATGAAAATATACTCGGCTGGAAGATGATGTTAAGAACTTGAGTTTCACAAATTGACAGCAGTAACCTATAACAAATATAGGTACATATGTGTAGTGTACTTGGGAACAAAACTCAGGAATTAATGACTTCACATAAGAAATAGACAATTCATCCAAAACATGCAACTTCTCATCTGCATCATAAAAAATTTGACACAGAACTTGCAGTCTTAAGTATTATGAGTGACTCAGAGGCTTCGTATTGGTGTTCTTTAACTTTCGCTTCATATCTTCTTTAACGACCTGTTAAAGTGTCAATTAGCAATGGACAAGCCAAAAGAAACAAGCAAGGTATGCAAAATCAAACTTAAACCAGACATAAAGTGGAGTGATGGAAACAAAAGGCAACCCATGTACCTTAAAACGATCATCTGTTGGCATGAAACTTTTGGCAGTTGCCAACACTTCTGACAACACTTTTCACAATAACAAATAAGTAAAATTGAGCAAAATTTACCTCCATCAAGCAAAATTTAGCATCTTCCATCTTCACCGTAGCAGGTGGACTCATCTAAACCCTAGCTGAACCAAAACCAAAATCAAGATTACCAAAGTTAATTCCAACCGTTAACTTCTATAAAATCATACCTCAAAAGGTAAAACAAAACGAAATTGAAGGGTTTTACATGGATTTGTGAATGCAAGAATTTGAATTTCCAAAAACCTACTATTGTAAAAACCCCCAAAATCCAGAGATTTATACCCAAAAACGAAAGAAAATTTCAAAAACATGAAACCCTAAAAACCAAAAACCCACAAATCTGCCCTCCTTGAGGAACCATCCGAGATTCAAATCAGAGAAATCGCATAGAAGAAATTGGAGATTATCACATACCGACTTGGAAGAGGCAACATTCGGGAGAGAAAATCGTGATCTGACGATCGTATCCGCCTCATCTTCCTCGGCCCATGATTTGAATGCTTCGATTTCTTAGCCTCTTCTCCTTCTCTGGTTTTTAGGGTTCCTCTGAAATGGCGAATCAGACCTCTAAGCTTCTTCTATCATCGTGATTCTGCAAGCCGCAAGCTCTCTCTCTCCCGCCCTCTCTCTCCCGCCCTCTCTGTAAGTCGAAGGCTCTTTCTCATAACCCATCTCCTCACCAAATCCCACACAGCCATTGATACCACCGACGACAAAAGAGAGAGGGAAATAGAAAAATTTGGGGAAAATGATAGAGAGAGAGAGAGAGAGAGCGAGAGAGAGTCTGGTGTGGAAGAGAGGCTCGGTTCAATTGGGAAAGGGAAAGCGAGACAAAGAGGAGAGGCGGAGGAACTGAGGAGAGGGTGGGTTTGAATGGGGAGCTGCAAGGAAGGAAAAGGAAGACCATGTGAGGTGTGAAGATTGAGGAAAGTGTTTTTCATTTTGTTTAAAACACTATTTTGAAGTATTTGGAAAGCCCGATGTAATTTGCTTTTCAACCAGCAGCCAATTCATCCTAGGCAGGTTATTCTGGCCATTTCATTATCGGTATCCTCTTTTAAAGATGCCAGGGGCGGTCCTCGGATTACGCCTCTTCCTCGGGGACAGGAGCAGTTGGTTGATGCTTGTTGGTCTCCTCCTTGTCCGGGCTTCGTTAAGATCAATGTGGATGCTAGTTGGGGTTCTTGTGATGGAAGGGGATTCACAGGATGTGTTGCTCGGGATGAGACAGGGAGGTTTCTTGCTGCCAGTAGATCAGGTGTTTCGGCTACTAGTGTGGCGTTGGGAGAGGCCTTGGCAATTTTGCACGGGTGTTTGCTTGGTAAGAGGATGGGTTGGAGGAGGATTAGTATTGAGTCTGACTCGTTGGAATCGATTTCTTGCCTGAGGGACATGGCTAAGAAAGGCAGTTGGGATGCCTTCCCTGTTCTTCTGAAGTGTGTTCGATTGGGGAAGGATTTTCTTGATTGCCGCTGGTCTTGGGTTCCAAGACCGGCCAACTCGGCGGCGACCTGCTGGCGTCGCGAAGTAGTAGGGAAGTATGCGATCATGTGTGGGTTGATAGACCCCCATCTTCCTTGATTCATGTTTTATGTAATGATGGTTTACCGTGTCCACTCTAACGGAGGGGACGCTCTAGCATTGGTTGCGGCGTCGAGTTTTCTTTGTAACCTCCGCGCTCTACCCTTTCCCAGTTGTTTATGGCTGTTTGCCTCGGTGTAGACTCTCTTTGTTCGGTTTGGCATCTTTGCCCGGTTAATGACGTTTGATTTCCAAAAAAAAAAAAAAACACTATTTTGAACAAAGGCACAAAAAATCTACTTTTACTTCAAATATATAAATTACAGGGCACAATAGCATTTATAGTGTCATTGCAAATTAATAAAAAAAAATTCATTGTTGACATTAGAGGCACAAAAGTCATGGTTATGTGCCCAAGAATGTGTTTGTGTCTATTTTTCTTCACATTGGGCACAATACATGGTGCCCATTACGGAATGAACAATGTTCCACCCTATTGATGTTTAAACAAACACAAACACCTCATTTGTATCCTTAATTTTGTGCCCAAAGGCCATTTTTCTTGTAGTGAAAGATCATAAACAAGAAGTCCCGTAAATCTGCCACAATGTTTTTGTGTCAAATTTCCTCCATAATTTTGTGAAGCCAAATATCTCTCAAAATAAAAGGAAAGGATAGGAGATCTTGCTAAATACAAAATAGATGACATTTGCATGCCGCATGCTTACGTATTATTTCTTTCTGATAGAGCACACCTACGTTTTTAGATGAAAACGAACTGGATGAGTTAGTCATGATCGATCAGAAGAGTTTCTTTTTATACAATATATATATATATTGCTCTCATTAATTAATTTCCAACAGATAAGCCTAAACAAAAGGTCAATATGTAGTTAACAGAACATACGTTGTCAAGACATTAGACATGGTATCCTATCATGCCAATCAGAGTATCGTCACGCAGCTTGGTTGTCAATTTTATTCGTAATTTGACTCCCAAATAATGCATATACTTATATAACTAAGACATCAGGCGTGCTGTAGACCTTTAGATGAAACATACATTGTTGTTTTTCAATTCTTCTAAGCTTACAAAAATGTCTGCCTTGTCACTTATGAAGGAGTCGAGATAGTATACTATATTAGAATATGGATTAGAGGGGCCAAATTATAAACCTAGACTCTTATGCATTTCAACTCCTAATATAATATCCAAATTTACAAAAGTAGGTATATATCCTTGTATGCATATATAGTTGACCCTTGAAGGGAAAAAATAATAAAAACTTCTTGGTCCTTCAAAGGTCTCTTTCCCCAGTATGCACACGCACAGAGACAAAACCTGATGTTCAGAGTGTTCTTTTTGAAATCTGTACTTTTTTCTCAATTAGTTACTTAATACAATGATGATCACATGTTTGAGGCAACTTTACAATTTTTATTTTTTTTGGTCCAAATTGTTCATTTTTCATATCTTTATTCATAGATCATTCTAACAAAAATTCGTTCAAATTGGAAAGTGTTTCAAGATCTAATTGTGATATACAAAAAATAGACAGACACCATTGTTGAAAATACAATGAAATGTTTGCAACCACAATAAAATGATTAAAGGATTTTCGATTCAGACAAATTTTGCAAGTATGATTAGTGAATCAAGATCCAAAGAAAAATAAACTGTTTGAATCATGAAAAAATATTGTGAAGTGGGTCCAAACACGTGATTGATATGACATTAAATTACCAACTGGCTAATGTTTGAACACTTATCTGCTACTAGGTTTTAAAACTACTGAATTTCAAATTTAATTAGTACCCAAGTAATTCAATTATTCAAGTACCACGTCTACCTTACCAAATAATTCATTTTTTGTGGGGTCTTTTTACTGAGTATCTAACCTTTTTTTTTTTTCTCTCGTGGTAGCGTGTGTGGAAATAATTCCTTTCCTTCAATCATACCATAGTTTGTCGTTGATCATATAGTATCATATAAAAGATAGAGAGAGCCACGCTGTCAAAATATCCCATTAAACATTGTTATTACTTGTATGTCCGTCAAACACCGCAGGCATTGACTTCTTGATTCAACGGCTAAAGTTATTATAACTTTTAAAGTGGGCCCCTATTGCCGTCGGATCAAATTTCAATGGTTCAGATCCCCGGACTCGGTGGATTAGGAGAAAGAGATCCGGAGAGGATCCCCTTTACGACTTTCCACATTCCAAGTAAGCAATATGCCTTTAATGAGCAATGCTTGATGGAAAAAATTGTTAGATCACATTGTTGAATTAAAACACATCATATGGTAAGGAAAATTCGATACTTATTACATCAATTATTATAACCAATTGAGAATTGACATATATGACCTACACATAATGCACTACAGTAACTTGGTAATAACACCCATTTGTTAGATTGCAGATTACTTTAACTCACACATAATGCACTACAGTAACTTGGTAATAACACCCAACTGTGAATCTCCAATCGTTGAAGCAGGAAGAAGTAGTTTGCTAGAAAGCTTTCCTTTAGGTACTTCAACTATGGTTGTATTTTGTCACGCCCTGACCCGCAAATGAGAACTATTCACAAGGTAAGGAGTGAGTCATATCTTAACTATAGAAATGAATTCTATTACCAAGACATTGTGAAAAAAAAATTTAAAATAATAATGATTTGGAACAATTACACAATACATCGTATAACAAGATTTTACATAATAAACGCTTGAGTTTACTACATTAAATTTATTGAATATGTAGTGGAATAAAAATTTACAAGATCACTAGTTCATGGATTAGTTCTCAAAATGATATAAGCATCTACAAAACAATAATTAAAATGTAATAATTCTTGCAAATACATAAAATATATGCAAATGAGATAGATGAAATGTACTCACTCCCTTCTAATCATGTTAACATATACCTAAGGCATCCATGTAACATCCCACATAGTCCAGGGGAGTGGATCTTGGAAGCCTTATATGTATATTCCCATCTCTACTTAACACGAGGCCTTTTGGAAGCTCACTGACTTCAGGTTTCGTAGGAACTCCGAAGTTAAGCGAGTTCGTGGGAGAGCATTCCCAAGATGGATGACCCATTATGTGACATCCCACATCGCCCAGGAGAGTGATCCTTAAATGTATATTCCCATCCCTACCTAGCACGAGACCTTTTGGGAGCTCACTGGCTTCGGAGTTCATCGGAACTTCGAAGTTAAGCGAGTAGCACGCAAGAGCAATTCTATGATGGGTGACCCACTGGGAAGTTCTAGTGTGAGTTCCTAGAAACAAAACCGTGAGGGCGTGGTTGAGGCCCAAAGCGGACTATTGTGCTACGGTGGTGGAACGAGCCCGGGATGTGGTCCCGCTCGGGCTGGCATGTGACAATTTGGTATCAGAGCTAATCCCTGGCCGGAAATGTGCCGACGAGGACGTCGGGGCCCTAAGGGGGTGGATTGTAACATCCCACATCGCCCAGGGGAGTGGATCATGTAAGCTTTATATGTATATTCCCATCTCTATCTAGCACGAGGCCTTTTGGGAGCTCACTGGCTTCGGGTTCCATAGGAACTCCGAAGTTAAGCGAGAAGGAGGCTAGAGCACTCTTAGGATGGATGATCCACTGAGAAGTTGCTCGTGAGTTCCCAAAAATAAAACCGTGAGGAAATGGTAAGTCCAAAATGGACAATATCGTGCTACAGTGGTGGAATGGACCTGGGATGTGGTGGACCCAAGCCGGGATGTGAAAAATGGTATCAGAGCCTAACCCTGGCCGTGGTGTGCCGACGAGGACGTCGGGCCCCTAAGGGGGGTGGATTGTGACATCCCACATCACCCAAGGGAATGATCCTTAAATGTATATTCCCATCCTTACCTAGCACGAGGCTTTATGGGAGCTCACTGGCTTCGGAGTTCATCGAAACTCCGAAGTTAAACGAGTAGCGCGCGAGAGCAATCCCATGATAGGTGACCCATTAGGAAGTTCTTGTGTGAGTTCCCAGAAACAAAACCGTGAGGGCGTGGTTGGGGCCCAAAGTGGACAATATCGTGCTACGGTGGTAGAACTAGCCCGGGATGTGGTGGACCCGGGCCAGGATGTGGTGGACCCGGGTCGGGATGTGACACATTAGGAAGTTCTCATGTGGGTTCCTAAAAACAAAACCGTGAAGGCATGGTCGGATCCCAAATAGGACAATATCGTGCTACGGCAGAGTCGAGCCAGGGATGTGGTGGGGGCCTGGGCCGAGATGTGACAATTTGGTATCAGAGCCAATCCCTAGCCGGATGTGTGCCGACGAGGATGTCGGGCCCCTAATGGGGGTGGATTGTAACATCCCACATCTCCCAAAGGAGTGGATCCTGTAAGCCTTATATGTATATTCCTACCTCTACCTAACATGAGGCCTTTTGGGAGCTCACTGGCTT